GGAGAGGAGAGGAGAGGAGAGGAGAGGAGAGGAGAGGAGAGATGCTTAGGAGAGATGCTTACCCCGGCTCGCCCTGTCTTGCCTGCCCTCTGTTAACATGGAACCAGCCCTGACGGGAGCCGGAGGTTTGGACCACAAGGTCTGAGAGGTCGAGGAGGACGTGCCCGATCTCGAGCTCCTCGTGGGGAGAAGGGCGGGACAGGAAGGAGACGCGCGCAAGTCTGCTACTCTTCGTGAGGACCAGACGGAATTCTTCGTTGATTGTTGTCTCCTGCTCCAGCTTCGCTGCCTGCCGCTGCATGTGAGCTTGTAGAGGGAGGATGAACACGAGGAGGAAGTTGAAGTGGAGGAAGGTAGGAATGAAAGGGGAGGAGGAGGTAGGGGAGGACAGGAGATGAGAGAGGAGAAATGGAGAGGGAGCAGCAAGGAGGAGGAGGAGGAGGAGGAGGAGGAGGAGGAGGAGGAGGAGGAGGGAGGGAGGGGCCGGGAAGGGGGGGGGAGAGGCAAGGGGGCTGGGGGGCAAGGGGGCCGGGGGGGAGGATAGGGAGGGGGCAAGGGGGACGGAGATTATCGTACAGCTTCAACATCAGGAACATCAGATGACGATGTCCTGCAAGTTGTTGTTGGAGGAGTGCTTGAAACCAAAGAGCTCCTCAAACTCCCAGACGTGCAGCTTGCACTTGTCCTGTATGGAGACCTTGAGCATCCGGTGGAGGTGGTTGCTGATCCCGTTGTTGCTGAAGTGAAAGTCTGTGAGGTCTGTGGTGATGTGTCAAGACTATTAACCAGAGAAGTTGATGAGTGCGATGGGACGTGGGAACCATCGAGGTGAACGTAGACAGCCGCTGAGACAGAGAAGAGGAAGACGCAGGCAGGGAAGTGCGGCACAGCACAGCACAGCACAGCACAGCACAGCACAGCACAGCACAGCACAGCACAGCACAGCACAGCACAGCACAGCACAGCACAGCACAGCACAGCACAGCACAGCACAGCACAGCACAGCACAGCACAGCACATGAAAGATGCTGCTGTGTGATCCTGAGGATGAGGGACTTACTGTAACAGGAGGGCAGGGACAGGACCAGGTGCTTGGCCCCGTCATCGCCGATGAGGTTGGTGTCGAGCATCAGGCAGGAAAGCTTCCGCATGCTCGGCAGGTTCTCTGCGATGGCCTTGGCTCCCTCCTCCGTGATCATGTTCTCCCGCAGGTCAAGGTGCCTGATCCCCCTCGACAGGCTGCTCACCACCAGGCTGCAACCCGCGTCCTTGATGTCGTTACTCCTCAGTGTCAGGGACTGCAGGCTCTCCAGGCGCGGGAGGGCCCCGGCCAGCCTCCGGCAACCCTCGGCATGGATCCGGTTGTTCCACAGGTTGAGCCTTGTCACGGAGCAAGGGAGAAAAGAGAAAAGGTCGCCGACCCCCCAGGACCCAATCATGTTCTCGCTCACATCCAGCGACAGCAGCATGCTTCTGCTCGCCAGCGCCTCCCCGATGACCCTGATGCTGCTCGGCCCGATGAGGTTGTGGTGCAGGTCTACATGCGCAAGGGAGCTCGCGCTCCTCAGGATGCCTGCAAGGCCCTTGACTCCCTCAGCTCCCAGCCCGCATCCTCCCAGCTGCAGCTGCTGCAGGCTGGAGTTGCACGCCAGCACGTGGTCGAGCTCCTGCAGCCCGCCGTCGGAGATTTGGTTCCAGCTGAGGTTGAGCACAGTGAGAGAGCAGGGGAAGGAGGAGAGGACGGCGGTGAGGACCGACATCGGCCTGTCCTCCAGGCCCGTGAAGTCAGCATGCACCTCCACCACCCCCTTCCACCCCTTGCTCGATGCCGCTTTCACCGCAGCCTGGAATGGGTGCAACCACTTGGAATTCGCGAGACGCGTGAAGGAGACGGCGATGCCGAGGGAACGGAAGGGAAGGAAGGTCATTGTCATGAGCGCTCCTCTCGTCGCGTTCTTCTTGGCTCGCAGGGAGACCAGCATGTTGCTCCAGCACTCGTCTGCGAAGAACTTGCTGAGGGCCTTGCAAGTCTGTTGAGGAGGAGAAATGTCAACGAGCAGCAGGAGCAGGAGGAGGAGGAGCAGGAGCAGAGGAGGAGCAGGAGGAGCAGGAGCACGAGGAGGAGCAGGAGCACGAGGGTTACCCGTGAGCCCATCACGACTCGATCTGCCGGCCAGACTCTCCCTGCCAGGTCTCGCTCGCGAAGGATCTGCTGCAAGCTCATGCTCCCCTTTCAAGACAGCACGGGGAGGGAGGGAGATGAGAGGGAGGGAGGGAGGGAGGGAGAAAGGAGAGGGAGAGGAGGGGGAGAGGAGAGAGAGAGGAGGAGAGAGAGAGAGAGAGAGAGAGAGAGAGAGA